AAGATAACTCTCAGCGCTGGACTGTGGACTTGGCGCATTCCCAGACATTTCGCCTGCATCGTCAGTTTGTCTTGCCATTCTTAGCACCAAGCTACAACTCGTTAAAGAAACAAGTTAAACCAATCCCCTCCTCTTTCTGTCCCTGCACATTACCTACTCCCCACTCCCTTATCTCACTCCCGCCCTATAGAAACTTCTGACTTATATATATGGAGAAAATGCAGGTTTCGAAGAATCTCTTGAGATAAGACTTTCATTTCGTATGGAAGATCATGAAAAGATTCGTAGGCTAATCTCACCAGAATACATCGTCTAATTCGCGTTTTACTGCAGCCACTTGGCTTTAATACGACGTGAGGTTGATTCATTTAACGTCGTATTATTGCCAAACGGCTGCAGTACAACGCGAATCAGCCGGTGTCTTCTGGTGAGATTAGCCTACGAATCGCTTTATGCTATTCCATACGAAATGAAAGTCTTCACAACAACTTCCGACTTGTGTCTATTCGATTCCTCTATATGTGTGCCCTTTTTGCTAAGTTTAGTATGAGTTTACCTCTTTTTACTGCTGTTTACCTTGCCCCCCTTTTCTCGATTGCTGATTCGACTCGGACCTCCTATCCTAATTTCCCTTATGGACTCGTGGATTCGTTTCTTATCTTATTGATTGACGAATTTTACTCGATTCCAGTCCTAGTATATACTTATATATAATTTTTCGATTATAAGTAGGTTTTAGAGTTGATTGCTATTAGCAAATACACCTTAGCCTCATGTGGCATAGTGGATAGCGTGTCGAGATTATTCCCTGCACTGTCATGGTTGACTACTGCTGAGGGTGTTAATAAGACCTAGGCGAGATCGAAACTGCAAGCCACTTTGGATGAAAATATGTTTTGGGAAAGCAAGGCTCTGAAATTCAATGGAAGCGTAAGTTCTACTCATTATTGTAGAAAAATTCAACTACCAGTCCCTCATAACCTCAAACGGAATAGGGTGATCACAACTCATATTTCCCTTATTTTTTCATCACAGTTTCCTATAAAGCTGCACTAGATCTATCTTATGTTAGTTACTTCAAAAATATCTCTGTACCGAATTAGTCCTATCTACCTTGGGTAGTGATTGTCCATAATATTCTATTTTCGAAGCTATCAATGTACTTCATACAGTTTTTAGTCAATCCTTTTATTGTCTTAGACTTAATTTCTCCTCGATTTGCAATCCCAAATCTCTAAACATTCGATTAAATTGTACCAATATATGCGAATAAAAGTTGGGTTTCGAGGAATCTCTTGTTTCATAATTGCTGTGCTTATCTCCATTTGGAATGAAAGTGTTTGGTAAAGAGATTCGAAGGTCGATTTCATCAGAAGACGACGGCGGATTCCTCTTGACCAGCTGTAGATTGGCTTTACTGGAATATTCATGCTGACGCTGTTTCCGAGGTAATCTCCTTCGATTCCGGTGAAGAGGTGCTAAACTTTCCATCGTCATTTTTGCTAGTTTTTCTCTTTATTGAGCAATCAAATTTGCTTCTATACATTTTATTTTACTGGCATCCTCTGGCTATTACCTTTTTATGAAGGACAACCGCTTATGCTTCTCTACATTATAAATCTCAAGCATATCCTCACTAACTGCAATTCATTATAGAGAGGATTTTTGAATGCCAATGCGCTTTCTCCATCGTAATATACCGAGAAGGTTAGTGCATATTCATGATATTTTTAAATGGTCGACCCGCAAACTCACCTAGTCCTTGGTTCACAAAATTCGTTAAGATATAATAAATGATTGCCTTCAATTGGCTCTCCCAGATTTTGCAGGCCGGAATTTTGGGTCAACGCGAAACCTTCTCACAATTGCAGTCAACGGCCAGAGACCTACGAATACAGCCTGCAGTTACCAAGGCGGCTAAGAACATTGGAGAGACACAACGCTTGCTAACTGAAGTGAAGACTGGTTGGGAGCGCCTACGTACCACAACCAAAGAGAGGCAGGCTGGATTGGAGTCTGCTTTGAACGAAGTGAGTGGATTTATCAAAATGGAATCATGACTTATGAACATTTGTTGTTACTTCATAAATCAACTGATTTATTTCCATCTTTGCTTAAGTCGTTTGGCTCACGCTTAGTTATTTTCTTCCGTTTGAGGCCCTGGATTCAATGTCTCAAAATACCTTAAGTTTATATTGGCATTCTCAATCATTCTATCATCGATAATATAGAGTATAAATTCGTAAATAATTTTAATTAACTACCTACCTATATATTTTTACTTATAGTGTATATCGATTCC